ACACACACACACACACACACACACACACACACTTACTGCTTGGAAACTACTGCATGATCTCAGTAAATATTTTTTTAACAAGTAGTAAATGCTGGTCTGTGTCAGTAACCTCACTTCTCCACCGGAGGGCAGTGTGTATATATTTTTGTGAGAAGAGTGTAATTATATATGCCAGCAGCAGAGGACACTAAAGGCTTCCTATATAAAGAGGGGACCTCCACAATCATCTTTCTGTTTCATTCACTTTCTTCCACGTTTCACGCTCCCTCCACACATAATGAAGTCGTTCCACACTTCTTCAGTAACAAACCTTCCCTATTATGTATTTTGCTGGAGGGAAGTGCAGAGAACGAAATGTTTCTGTGTCCGTGTTTCTCTCAAAAGCTGCTCAATGGCCTCTTAGCTAATCCTGAGCTTGCTTCATGTCTCGATCCTTTCTCCGTCTACAGACTACCATGTATTTTTCATTTCTCAGATGTTTACCAGATGACCGAGGCAAGCAGAACACTGGTGCTGTTGGTCAGAGGCGCTATGGGGGGCTCGGCCAGCATGATCCCAGACAGGACAGCTCCGCCGAAACAGAAGAGCATGGAACTGAACCAACAGGCCAAGGGGCTGACCCTGGACACCTCCAGAGCTCCTGCACAAAAATAATATAGATTTATTAGCCTGAGTCCCCTATAGTAGTATGTACACACACCCATACATAAGATAGTAGTAGTGAGATAGTCAGTTTGAAGGATTACGCAAAAACTACTGCATGGTTTACCACAATACCTGGGGTCAGGGAAGAATCCATAAAATGTTGGTGCAGATCCAAATCACAGGAGGAGCCAGGATTTGTTTTCCTTTAACATTGCAAGATTTTTTCGTTTTTCAGCATTTTTAAAGAAATAACATCTTGAGATGTTGATGAGGGGGTTGATATTCATAAGTGTGTATAATTTAGTGCAGCTTGATTGGCTCTTAGAGGACTGTTGGGCCTCGGTGGAGTTATGCGCTCTACTGAGTGCCATTCTACTTATTACACAAATCCCTCCACTACACTGAAGGAACAGGCTTTGTGCAGTCCAGACTGTAAATGCAGTGTTTCTGCAGAGTGATATCAGAACAACAGGGCAGCAGCAGACAGTGGAGTTGACACAGTGGTTGGGGGCCTGTGTGACACTCGCCTCCCCCACAGTCCCTGCACTGTATAAATATTAACCTGTTCACAGTGAACTGATATAGGAAGATAAAAGAGGAACAAAGGTTTGTGGAGCAGGATGTAACATTTGTGTGGGAACACAGTTCAAAGTGCAGCGCAAACGTACTGACACTACACTACAAGTAATGATCTGCTGCTCAACGCTCCCTGTGTTCACACCCTGTTTGAAATGAACACTGCATTCCTTTCTACACTGAACCCACTTACATGTTGGCTGCATGATATGAGCACTCATTAGTTACAGTTACAGTGCTCTCTATTGTGTTTGTGTGATTTTCATAACCTCCCTAAGATTTAGTACAAAGCTTTTATTTTGAAATTACAACACTGAGACGATGTTGAGTCATTACTACTTCAACATTCAAATTGTACTTTTGTAATAAATTGTAAATAGTTAAAAAATAATAGCTTTTACTTGCTTAAAAGTTATAAAAACATTTGATTCCACACACTTGGCTTGGGTGTCAACAACAGTATTAAAGTGGTATTTTACATGTACATGTCCAAATAATAAGATCTCAAAATGACTCAAAAACTAAAAGGTCCAAACCTTCTCAAGGTCTTGATGACATTATAAACTGAAGTTTGTTTTTCCCATTAAAGGATATAATCACACCATGTTTTTATTGTTTATATTGGGAATATCATCATGTTTAGATAAAAATGGAGCCAAAAGGGCTTTAAAACGATATGAGAAGCATTTCTCTGTGATCTGTATTAAGGGACCAGTCAAAGTCCAAAGTTCATGTTCCGTGAGCCCATATCACATGAAAGGTTGGTTCCATGTGTTTCTCCTGTGTTGAAATCAGAGTGAACATTTTCATTTTGATCAGCGATGGTTCAGCTGTGACAATTTGACACAGAACCATATGAGCACAGGTTTCCTTCGCTTCGTGCTCACACAGGTAGAGCTCAGTTAACCCTGAGCCACCTGCCCAGAGTCACCGTGGCTGAACACAGGGCCACACTGGTAATCTGAGGATTACAGGCAGATTATAGACTCCTGGAGAGAGACCGGGAAAACCAGGAGGATTTCTAGCTCTCTCTACCTCCACTGTAGACTCCCCCTGGACTCAGTCTGCCTGACTCAACTTTCGTTTCATGTTTTGAAAGAATCTGAAAGTAACAGGGAAGTGAATTCATTGAACCTCCACTCCCTCCATTTAAAATACACAGATCAAATTTTACGAAAAGACATTTATTAACAGCAACTTTTCCTTCTGACTGATATATTTTTAATATAATGCAGAATGTTATCCTCGTACCCAGCTGAGGTGGAGCTCATGATCTACTTTAGATACAGGTACTAATATCAAGTGGTTTATAATTCATGGCTCAGACCCATTGAAGGGCCACCAGATAAATCTGAGGGGTCATGATATAATAAATGAGGCAGTAAAGAGAGACAAAAAGATCAGCTGCAGAATCTGTGTCGAGTTTTTTGTGATTTTCTGTTATCATGAAGAATAGTTTGTAATAATAGTACGTGAGTGAAACTTATAATATTTTCTCTCTGAAATGCAATTAAGTACAATGTAACATCATATGGATATAAAACTTTCACGTGCTTCTTACAGGACTGTGTTCACTTGTTTATACTGACCCATGGCGTACACAGGACTTAACAGTGTTTCCAAACTTGAGCAGCGATAAAGGTGGAACCATTAACACTATTAACTGCTGCAATGCACTAATGACTGGACAGTGTTGGGAGTTTCAGCAACTCTTCATGCTGGGACATGTCAACAGCACAAGTAGAGAAGAATGGATGAGATGTGGCAACACACAAAGATAAAAAGAGAAAGAGGCCGTTAAGTAAGATGTAACAAAAAAAAAAACCTTCCCATGTGTTTGGTTGTTACATAAAATACTCAGAGGGAGCCGTTAACACTCCAACACATTATTCGATGCCTTTATGTCTCCAAAGCTTCATTACTGCGTCACTGTCAGATGTTGTTTTGTTTGTAAGATGGGGCGGTACTCGCTGCAGCTTGACTGAATTTAAGTGGTCTGTTGGGCCTTGGTGGACGTATGCGCTCTACCGAGTGAAAACCTGGCGACACAACCTGGCCGATCCTGTGTGAACATGAAGTCTGATGCAATTGCAGTTAGAAGAGGAGGAAGTTTAAAGCACCCAAGCATCAGACAGGGAAGAGTTCAAGTTTGTAATATGCCAATCATCTAACACCCTGACTGACATCCTGTTCTCCTCCTGTGAAAGCCGACATGAGCCCTGATGTGAATCCACACTGCGTTTTAGCTCTTACAGCAGCTGTAACACACAGCTCACAAGTGCACAAATTGCTTACATGATAAAACAGTGTTGCTCTGACATCACCTTCAGCCACAGTCTGTCTGAGCCGAGTCACTTAAAGAGAGGCAGAAATGATGATTAGAGCTGAGGTGGAGAATATAAAACTATAATTTTACTGAGCATTTCATAATTTCAGGATTTAGGTAAGCAACACAATCCTGAAAATTAGGTTTTCTTTTATTTAGTTGTCGAAATATAATCCACTGCTCAGACAGGCTGGGGCACAAACACAAAACCGAAACAGATCCTGTTCTGACTTTGCATTTGAAGGAAATGTTTTTACAAGTCAAATCTGATTAATACAAGTCAAATAAAGCACTGATGTAACATGTCATAATGTGCTGGTTGTATTTCTAATTCCATTCTTTCTTTTTTCGTTCTCTCTATCGAGTTCATGCTGCGTCTCATCTCTCTGACAGTTACTACAGGACCTTTAACCTTTCACCACTAAAATAGTTTTGGCCTGAAGCGAGGACTGACACATAACATACAACCACTGCTCCTCTTCCTCCTTCTTCCTCAACAATCTACTCACCGAAAGCTCAAAATAACTCCACTGTAAACTGCAGTGAAGGTTGAGCAGCTCCAGGACTGGACACCCTGAGTGGATGCAGCATAAGGAGCAGGAAGGAAATATTTAACACAGGAAAGAGAAAAGCAAAGGAGTGCTGGATGGTTTGTGACATTCCTTTCCTTCTTTGGGGAAAAGAAACTCTGGAGATGGCTACATGAATGTGTGAAATTATTTCACAAAGACTTTGAGGTTTAAACTATACTTGCAAACTTTTTTCAAGCTAGTCATGTGTCTTTGAACACACCACGTGTTTAAATAATGAAAAACAGTGAGCAGAAACATACAGACAAACACGTCACTGTTTCTGCTCCACAGGAGATATGTGACTCATTCCCCATATATCTCAGCTGAGTGTGAGCTCTTACACTACACACATACACACAAACAGGGACAATATGAGGGTGGCATGTTGTGTTTACTGACCCCCTGCATACACTTGATCCATATGTTTTACTCTTTAAGTGTCTTCACTTCAGCTGCAGATAGATAGATAGACAGGAGCAGAGGACAAAGGGTTAAAAGGTCACAGCAGCTCAGATGTTTTCCAAGGCAAGTTCCAAAATAGACTGTAACTTTACAGCAGTGGAACTACAATAGACTGTGCATGTGTTCATGAATGCTTGTGTGTGGGGGAAGGTCGACTCCAGCACACTCAAAGTCCACCTGTCCCTGCGACCACCATATCAGTGTCATAACACACAGTTAGTTGGCTCGGTGCCTGCCTTTGCTCTGAGCTGATACCAAAGGTTGTGAGCGTGGCAGTGAGAGTTTCAAGTTTTCAAGTTTTTCCCAGACATTTGGTGTAAACAAAGAGAGCAAACATGAGCAACACTTTGGGCAATGCCAGAGAGTCTGCCAATGACTTATTAATGAGATCAGATAACGATCGAGATCATTCATGTCGAGGCACAAACTAAAAGCTTAATGTTTTAGGCGACAGTTGTTTTGTGGACTGGATATTAACTTTATTAGAATTAGAATATTAGCAAGAATGAAACTTTAATAAGCACATGATAAATGTAAGCAAAGGCTTTTAAAAGGGATGTTAATGCAAGCAACCGTATTCCACTGTTATGCATACAATTACAAAAACTGTATACAACAAAAAAGTATATTTACTCTGTTGCTGTACACATTTTGAATCACCTGATCTGCAAAATATATACTCAGCTAAAAACATATGATCAGCTTCTATTGAATTAAATACCGAACAGTGTGTAAAGCAGTCAGAACTCGCTCAACCTTAACCAACTAAATGCTGTTCACTGTATTTATGCGATTGGAGCAATGATACGTTTAAAAGTACATTGCTGATACTTTTACATCAGATTTTGAAGGCAGCATTCTTTAAACTGCAAATGATCATTATCAGAGCTACCATTATTTTTATATCAGAATTGTGCCATCGCGGGAAAAACCTTTTTCATGTGTAAAAGAAAACGTAATTTATTTGTTCCTGTTTGCTTCTTAAAATCAGTACAAGGAATATCAGTTAAATTAGTATAGAGTACAAAAGTAAACATTGAGGTTCAACACCACCCATCAAGGTTCACACAGGCTGCTACAGCTACATCAGCCTGGACTGTATGCACATTCCACTGTTATTGTTATTTTCAATACTGATTCATTTTGTGGATTACTTTTCAATCATCTGCTTGACACAGAGGATACACATGATCATGACAACCAAGCAGAGCTGAATATGACCTCTGAAGCAAGAAATATTAAGTTTACATTTTACCAGTTATGTGACAAAACATGATCNGGGGTATTACAGAATATTTGTCTTTCACTAATCATGGTTGATTAATCGAAGGGGCAAACCCTTTCAGCTCTGCATCCAGTCACGCCAACACATACTTACACTGAAAAAAACCCAAGAAACAAATTCTATGAGTATAAATTCATGCAAAACTTAAGAGAGGCTGTTGTGTGTGAAGTCTAAAAACAAGTTTGTCACTGTCGTGAACTAGACGGAAATAGAGAACAAATGTTGTGTTATGATCCAGCAGAGCAGAAAGTTTGAGTTTCCAGCATTTCTCTAAACGCAACCTTATGGCTGGTGTTGCGTTTAAGTGCTTGCACTTGAGATAAGAGGACAGCTGTTGGCCTCCCATCATGTACAAGTTGAATTGATGCAAAACTACTGTAAAGTAAAGTAAACATGATGCAACAACTAAAAGTAAAGTTCTAAATAAGTGTCACTGGGACTGAAGTGCAGGAAGTCGTTGGTCGCGCTCTCACCTGGCTGCTCCCTCAGAGCCATGACGGACACGACGTAGTGCGCCACGTCAAAGAACGGAAACATGGACAAGTTCGCCAGAGCGTGAGACAGCTCGTCCACCCGCAGCATCCACAGCACATCCATGGTGTTGGAGGCGAGGTGACAGGGAGCTGCTCCTGTTGATCCTCTCGGTTCAGGTGGAGAAGGAGGCGCAGACTCAGAGCATCAGCACCCAGGACTTCATCCACCGTCTGACGGCTCTCACTCAGCTCAGAGTCCGGGGGATGGCGGCTGTTCTCCGGGCAGCAAGTGTGAGCGTGTCCGGCCCGAGGACGCTCATCACCGGTGTTTCCACATCAACGACGCTGTCAGAGGCGCATATGCGGAATTCCTGCTCCGTGCTCCGCCATACTAGTGAGGAGGCGCATGGAGCCAGAGCCGCCACGTGATTGGAGGAGAGAGAGAGCGGCGAGCCAATCAGGTGTCAGAGTGTGGCTCTGGGAGGGGGTGCTACAGGACTTGGAAAAGACCAAAAAGACAATAAATATATATCATTTCTTTCTTTTTGTTTATCATTAACAAACTAGAAGGAAAATACTTACAAGG